GTCCTTACCAGCCCGTAAACACAATTCCAAAATGCACGCCGCCTCCATCCTCGTCGTTGCCCTCTCGGCCGTCGCCATGGCTGCCGACGACAAGCCCAAGCGCGACTGCAGACGCGACAGATCCCATCCCGGCCGCGGCTGGTACTGGATCGTCGAGGGCGACACCCTCAACGAGATCGCTGCCGACTTCGGTTCCACCGCCAACATCATCGCCGCCATGAACGGCATCCCCAACCCCGACTCCATCCCGGCCTGGAAGACCATTGTTGTCCCTTGCCCTCCTTAGATCAGTCGACCGAGAACAACGGATACCCCGCGATGCACCACCAGCTCACCGCAAGCGAACTTCAATACCGTCAGCAACTGAGAAAATCTGGCCAACTACCAAGACCAAGTTTAGGAAGCGCCTAGATAATACATAATACAAGTTGAAAGCCCATTAGACCCGCCCGAGTAATTCAGTAATCCGTCTCGCTTTTGGACTTCATCAGAGATGGTTCGAAGCTTGAACCACTTCAGAAGGACATGGATACCTAATTACCTTAGTCTTGTCTCCCACCACACGAGATGTGGTGTCCTGGTTCTATGAGTCAATCTCTGACACACATATCGAGAGAAAATTAAAACTATTCAACAAGGCTATATGCTGTCTTTCCGGCGATCTATAGGCTCCATCTCGAACTCACCCACGCTCTTTGAAATGTCCTTCTTCATTGATCCATTGTGATGTCCGGTCTGAGGTCGAGGTGCGTATTCAACGCTCACCTCGGTGGTCCATGTGATACCGCCTCTTTCACTAGCATTGCTTCCTTGCTGCCCCGAGACCAGTATGCTGCTGTCACTCGAAGCATCCTGATCTCTTGGCTCTGCTCTTGTCGCCGTCACAGTACTACGATTGTAGAACCTTCCGCTTGTATCCCCTGTCTTGATGTATGCTCCAGCTCCCGGCGAGGACTCCGTGCGTTTTCGGACCTGGCGAACGAAACCACGGAGAACTGGTATGGATGCTGAGATAATAGTGACGTTCGGTTCTGCCATAGACCATATCCAGTAGACTGCTTGGTTGTATAGATCTGGCAAAGAATTCGACATTAGCACATGCTAGTTTTCAACGAGGAATGAACTACTTACAATCAGGAGATCTCACGTTAATTAGCATGTAGCCCTGAACAGCTTTCATAACCCCTGTAACACCTGCTAGGATCCCCATGCTTAAAGCTACGGCTACACTTATTCTCTCTGACTGCTTCATTTGTAGGTTGAAGATCATCTTCCATGGTAAAAGAGCAAGAACAATGTCGCAAATCGCCGAGTATACTGCAATAGACAGATCAGACATGGATACCACTGCTAGACATGATTATAACTCACATGCACTGAAGACCGTAAAAGCTACCGACTGGTCTAATCGCCAGCACCTATCCCCTCCAATATGTCCTAGATCTGGTGCACCGCAGATAGCCTGCCATATTGCAATGATGTGTATCGCAAATTGCAGGTTCATCGTAATGATGACGCCCCATATGAGCTTTGCTTCCCAGCCCCCGGGCATCAACCGGAACAGTGTGATTCCAAACGATGTCTTCGTCAGCCCTAGAGCGACAGATTGAAGGTTATGGTGGGTTCGGGCAATAGTGATCTTCAGCAGATTTCCTCGAATAAGAAACACAGCCATCAACCAGGACACGTTTGCTGATGCTAGAAGCAAGAAGAACCATCCCGCAACGAGCACCCAGTCGTCTGCTTGGAGCCCAATCCCGGTATTCCGAAGCCGGCTGTAGACTCGGAGGGCGAGGAAGACAGTCGATAGAAAGAGCATCTAGAGACCGAGAAGTTTGTCAGAATAGGTGCTCAACTCAAATCAGGCTACTTTGGACCCTCAGTTCGGCAAACTTGACTTACCACCCATGTGGTTGCATGGACAAGCACCGAGAGATCGCTGTTGGCCCACGTCATGACGACGGCAAGCAGATGGAGATCTGAGCAAGTCGTTTCTAGACCACCTAGATTCTTCTAAGGCCCATCGGGAGTCCGAAACGGAGGTCTTTCTCAGGAAATCTGACCCAGATTTGGACCTTGGTAGGAAGTTAAGTAAGGCCAGGATGCCCGTCCGCGAGCTATTGCGCAGGCTCACTACAGTGCATGCTGAGTTGCTTACCAAGATCTCCTCCCAGGACCTTATTCTGTAGACCGAGTCATATCGTGATGTTGGTCTTGGTCGGGCATTGCGGAGCTATGAGCCGACCCTTGTTGGGTCTCTTGGCAATATCCGCATAAAGTCCATATCAAGCAAAGTCCGAGGAGGTATCCGTAATTGTATGCGCCGTTGCGGCGCAGCTCGGTCTACTACGAGTCTTCAACCAACGACAAACTGCAGTATTCATCCGCCTCCAGGGTCCTGGATACCGTTCCGCCTTGGCAGAAATTCGTAAAGACCTGGAGTCATCCAGCTGCATACAAGCGACATTGCGTTTCATAATCGCTACAGAATCAATCGAGGATTTCTACGCTGTGCCGCATGTACGCCCCGAATAAAGATACCATTGACCAAAGAACTGAAGATGCGAGACCGAGCTGTCCCAGGGACTGGTGGATGATGAGATGAGCTTAGCCGGAACGATGGTCTAAAGACCTATTTCGTGTTGTCCTCCGTGCCGCGTATTGGTCCCGATGTCTGACTGGTGGCTTCGGTGGCTTCGGTGGCTTCGGTGGCTTCGGTGCCAACGGTCTGCGATCTTTCTGCATTTCCATATCGCACAGCGGATTTCAGGCCTGGCAAATGGAGAGAGTAATGACGACGTGAGGCGGATGCATTTCTAGCTGTTATTGAGCATGCTTCAAGTAAATAAAGACTCGCGGCCCGGCGTTCGTACCACAGAGTAGGCCGTAGTATTAGCACCAAACTACACTCTCCCTCACTTTCTTTTGGTGTTTTTCACCCAAGTCATTCGTTTGTCCCCCATGGTTCTCAAGAAGTATCTTGGCATAGCTGCCTTACTTGGCCTCCTCGACCAAGCTTTGGCTCAGCTAAACACCACATCATCCGGGTTCAAAGCTGTAAGTTCATGTTGTCTCGTTGGCGGGGTATTTATGCTCTCTCTTGCAACGAAACTACACCGCCTCCCTTTTACATGTCGGATACTGATTGGAACTGAAAGTGCGATGCCCTCTTTGAGGCCGGGCTTGGGGATATTCTCGTCTTTCCGACCGACATCGCCTACACTGAGAGTACTTCGACGTACTATTCGTCAGAGAATCGTCGAATTCGACCCTACTGTATCGTTCAGCCGCGCTCGACCGAGGATGTTTCCTCCACCATCAAGGCTCTGGGCGGAGTAAGCGGTGCCGGAAACTGGGACGTTGCTGTTCGCTCTGGTGGGCACAGTGACTATGACAACAACGCTGCTCACCGAGGTGTTACTATCGATCTCACGTTCTTCAACTCTACTGAGCTTGTCAAGAGTAGTTGCTTCAATGGTACTGCTCATTGGACAGGCCAGAGCGTTCTGACCAAGGTGAGTAAAATTCTGTCAGGATTTTGCAGAGTAACAAGCTAATACCAGGAAGAATATCGCACGGATCCGCCCTGCTGCTCGTTGGGGCAACGTCATGACCTACCTCGAGCCATACAATTTGGGAGTTACAGGTGGACGATCTGGCCACGTCGGCGTTGGTGGCCTGCTCGTGTCTGGCGGCGCTTCCTACCACACGCAGCTTTATGGCTTTTCATGCGACAATGTAGTCGGCTATGAGGTCGTCCTCGCCGACGGATCGATAGTCGAGGCTAATACAGAGGAGAACGCAGATCTCTTCAAGGCTTTGAAGGGAGGCGGAAGCAACTTGGGCATTGTCACTCGTTTCGACCTCAGGACCTTCACCGTACCCCCTACTGGTGCCTATGGTGGCCTACTCTTTGCGTCCTGGAGCGACTTGGATGTCGTGATTGACCAGTTTGTCAGCTATGCCAGCTCAATCGGTTCCGGCAGTCCCGACCACGAGTTTGTCGTCTATCGATCCGACGCCGGCAACCTGGCTGTGATGGCCATGGCAGTCAGCACTGATGGCAACGAGAACTCGACGACATTTGCCCCTTTCAATGACATTACCTTGACAAGGGATGTGAGATCTAAGCAACCTCTCAGTAAGATTGCGGCGACCATTGCCGACACCGGTGGATCGCATTACATCCCCTTCTCTCTGTCCCTTCAAGCCACTGCGGAAATCATGAACAAATCTGCCGAAATCTTCGTGGCTTTGACGCAAGAGTTCGATGCCACCAGTGTTCCAGTTTCCGTCAATTTTGTTTTCCAACCCCTCCCAAAGAACCTCGCCGCCGTCACGCCCGGTAACAACATACTAGGCTTCGACAAGAACCTACCCTCAGACTCAATTCTCTTTGAGGCCAGAGGTACCCTAGCAGCTACTGATGCAGGGTATGGAGGCGTTGTTGAGAGTATGATGGGTAAGGCTATCGAGGAACTGAGAGCATATTCAGCTTCACTTGAAGGCCACTCGACCTTTCTTTACATGAACTACGCCAACCCAGAACAAGACGTCATCGGATCATATGGTGCAGAAAATGTACAATTTTTGAAGGATGCGGCTGCGAAGTACGACCCGAATGGCTTTTTTCAGTATCGGGTTCCTGGGGGGTGGAAGGTCAGCCGGATATGAGAACATCCATCGACGAGGGGTTTATGCGGGGGTCTCGTTTCTTAGCTACTCTTGAATCAACGGGCGAAATTAATGTAATCTGAGATTATGTCTCAAACTCGCACGCCACAAAGACTACCCTTGCTCCTGTGATGTGTGAAGTGGATGTTGTCTTGTATAAATGATGAAGGTTAAGGAATAGTTCCCTCCTTTTGTGCGTGCAGCCAATCTTTTGCTATGAAACATCGAATTTTACATGATTCCTACGTTGCAGATGCTCTCCTCACTTATGAAAGTTTTGGCCGCCTGAATGCATGTAGCGATTCTCTCAATCTTGTGGTTGGCCTCTACATGACCAGGCAAACCCCTGCTAAGTCGGGAGGTAGGCTCTCACCAGACCTATCAGCCAGTATCCGTAGGGGGTTCTCATATTTGGCGAAGTACATGTACTCAGGCAAGATAGAAAAATATTCGTCGAAGTGCTTTGCAAAGACAGGAAGCCGCTCCTCATTGCCTTGAGCCGAGTCCATGACACTGCGAGCAAGATGGAGACGATTATGGATTGCCTTGTCTTCTTCCGAATCATGCGAACAGCGCGAACAGCGCCAATCGGGTCCGCCTTGTTCATCCAGCTCATCTTCGATATCTTTGAACATTCTCATGAGCGTCCAGGCGATTTCAGTGTAGTTCAATCCGGAAAATGGCCGGCAACCGACGATGTCGTTGCAGATATCAATCTTTGCGGCCTCCAGATCCTCGAGAAATATTCTCAAATTGTTCCACTCAGTGCCGTCATCTTCTTGTTCTTCTGCAACAACCAATGCTTTTGGTGGAAAGAGAAAATGACACCTGTTGGCCGTTTTCATTGCTTCCTCCAAAGTGGTAGAAACACCCAACCAGTCGTCGCCCATTCCCTTTTTCATGGCAGTGCGCACTAGTTCTGTCTCCTCGAAGTGAACTTCGCCTGTTTCTAAGCTGAGTCGCCTTGCCTGATTAAGGCGGACTATTCCAATTGCAGACCGAGGATCAAGCACCTTGTCTGGTATGCGGCTGGGATCCCAATCGGCCTCCTGATACAGAACCAATTGAGACTTCCCACGGAATCTTGCGAGGCTATCCAAATCGCCGCCATCATACCCATCCGTTTTGTTCTTCGATTTGTTCTCCAGCGTCCTATTGAAAACGTCTTGTAAACCCTTCGCAAACTTATCCTTCGGGATTTTGCCATCGTCAAAGATGGATCTTTGAAGAAGGCTCGAAAAAAGCCAGCGAGTCGATTGACATAAGTACCCTCTTCCAAGTACCCACGCTCTTTCAGCATATTGTGCAGATGCACGAATGTGAATGGCTCATGAACTCGATTCCAGGCCGCCATTGAAGTGCTATAAGCAAGCTGAAGGCCTTCGACAAGACCAACACCACAGAGGTATGGTGAATAATCCCACAACCCGTTGGAGTTGACGGGCGAAAACCGAGAGGCAATTTCATGTCGATCCTTGGCCCCCTCAGCCATGCGAGAGACACCCAGAAGATGAATAAAGTCGTCGCCAAGCTCCCAAAGCGATCTGCAATTTCCAAAATTCGCGTATTCGGGTTTGTGTTCTGCAAAAACATCTTCACACAGAGTAGAAAACACAGGACAATATCCTGTATCTTGATTGGCGCCATCCCTCCCAATGAAGAAATTGACTTGCACCGTGGGTACAAAAGAGGCGGCTGGACTTTTGACTTGATGGCTACCATGCTCATCAAAAGACCAGCCTCGCCAGATTGCTGTTGCATCGACGATGCACTGGAGCTGGAAGACGTGATGTGGAAGAATCTTGCCTGTGATGTCTGTGCTTGGCTTCTGCATGGCCAAAGTGGTGACGAAGCAGGCAAAGTCTTCAAGTCCAAAGAGACCACGGTTATCGCTTTGTTGGCCATGAGTCGTACTCCAGTTGATGTTCTCAAGACTCGTAAACTTGTGGCTACCCTTGAGGCTCTGGATGACGGGCAGTGAAAAGACATTCACCAGGTCAAAAAGCCAGTTTATAGTGAATGATCGACGCCACAAGATCCTCTCCTCTGAGGTAGCAGACTCGACTGAAAAGTCGACGTCCCAGTTTTTGATTTTGGCTTGCATGGCTTTGGTTGGCCTTCCTGTCCGGTTCTTTTGGAAGTCCTTGATAAAATCGAGCAGATCTTGATACGTATGGAGGAGCAGTTGCTCTCGAATATCACCGTTGTGTCCCTTGCCAACATTATCACGACCATCGGCGACGGTGTCTGGCCCTGATGTCTGCTTCAATATGCTTCGATCGAAGGCTTGGATGATGTTATGGTAACAGTCGTTCCCAGGAAAGTCGACAAATATGGCCAGTTCTGTCTTTCTGACCTTAGCAATGGCTACCTTTGACACAGCCCCTGCTACTGCGCTGTTAAGGTCATGATATGCGACGCCTTCCCAGATGTCCTGGAGGTACGTTCGCATATCACACCACTCCGACCTGAAGGCACTGACGGCCATGCTGTATTCATCCATGAGATCTTCGTCAGCTTCGAGGATGCGAAAGCATTCGAGAGGTGCTTCCTTGTCAGAGTCTGATGCGTGGGCTCTCTTCGATCCTTTTCTCTTGGCCTTTCCCTTCTTGTTCTTCTTTCCTTTGTCGAATCTTTTCTTCTTGTTTTGGCTGACACTCTGGCTCTCATTGCCACTCTCAGATTCTGGTTCACTCGTCTGTTCATCTTCACCGAGATCCAGGGCGCTGAACATGTTGTAAAAAATGAAGTCCTCGACAACCTCAGCAACCTTCTTGAACTGAGTGGCTTGAGCCCCGGGGCCCTTGACTGGCTTTCTTGGCGAATTGCATGGGGTAGCCCCTGGCCGAGGGAACTTTAACTTGACCGGCCACGATAAGGCTAGCCATTAATAGCAAGTCTTTAACTCGGAAATGAGTCAATTTGTAAATCTCCTGAGTGAAAGCGTCACTAGAGTTTATGACGCTGTTGGTATTGTCCCTCATCCAGGAAAGAAGCAGATTAGTGTCGCGCTTGTATCCGAGGTATAACTGTCGTAAAGCCATCGTCACAGTAGTTCCACTATTATCTGGCAGAGAAGGAGCAGACATTGCTAACGACTAGTTTGATCAATAAGTCTCGTAAATTAATGTTCCAAGAGACTCACTTGTCTGTAGTCGGGTAGGTTTTCAGGCTTAGAAGATAGTCGACACGGATATATTTACAAGAAATTTCACAAGACCTCTGAGATAGAGTGAGGAAAGAGGCGAGTAATAAAACGTCAGAATCGACAAATTGATCACTTTACTTAGGGTTTATCAAGTCAAACAGGTCAAGCAAAAAGATGCAGGGAGTATCCATTCTGAGAACGGAGAAGGAGGGGATAAGTTTGAAATTGTGAGAAATTCATTTCGGGGAGATTTCTTTTGAAGTCTTGAAATAGGGAGAAAAGGGCGGGATTTTCACCTAGTTCTTAGCAATACACGTAATGAATCTGCCCAAAAACGGTCTGCAGACTTTTCTTCACGTAGGTGAGAGCCCATCGAGAGCAAACACTTTGAAGAACTCTCGAAGTATTTGGCCCAAAAACCATTGTTCTTGCTATAATATGATGGAAGGCGAGTGACACAGTGTATAAAGGCATCGAGAAAAGAACGAACTGCGTCTACCCGATGCGGAACTACTATTGATTCCCAAGAGCAGCCCTACGTAAAGTAATAACTTCCAGTTTCCTGATTCTATGAAAGAGCATGGCCGTGGACAAGTGGCGGCATGTTCCGACGGCAGTATTGGTGTCGACCGATACAAGCACTGTTCAGACTCACGTTGTCGTTACTATCACTGATGAACCTCAACTGGAATTAAGGGCGACCGACGTACCCAAGAACGCTGCTGGTATGGACGAGAATCCTTAATGCCCAGCGTGCGTTGGCGGTTCAACCCTTACTTGATGAAAATGACACTATAGGTGCGAGGGACGTAAGTAATTCATACTCCATGGAAATATTCCCTGACATTGGAATAAGAATCCATGTCCTTGAGCAAGTCAGAGTCTGACAAATAGTAGCGAAGCCTTTGCTGCGAGGCAGACGCGTTCGTAGACATAGCAAGTACAGGGTCGGTACGATAACGCCAGGAGGTGCATGCTTCTTGCAGTGCTGCTTCCAAACCAGGGGGTCAAGCAATGTCCCCAATTGAGCCGCCAGTTGTAACAATTACCAGAGCTACCTTCGAGTCCGTCTTTTGTTGAGCCAAAGCTGAATGAAAGCAAACGCAAAGGGCATCCATTGAAGACGCGCAAGGACCAGCCAATGCCTAGGAGGTTGAAATCATTTAATGATTAGTAGGCTGTTTTCATTTCGTCAGTGTCTTTGTCTCTTTGAGGCGGGCAGCGCGTTGTAATTTACTGGCACAGAAAGCCGAGACGGCAAAACTGCTGACCATGATGATGCTGCCAACAGAAATTTGAACGCGATGCCTATGTTTGTTACGTGCAACTATGGGTCCTACTGCGATGCAAACCAGGTAGATAATAACTAGGTAAATGCAGAAGACCAAGCCAATCTGAGAAGGCGTGTACCCTCGAAGCTGTTGCTAGGAGAAGTAAGACTGAAAGAACTACCGCTATGTTTAGCTAACTGATAAATAAGACCATCGCGCAGAATGCCGCAAACACCACCCCGCATCCTTCAACACCGCCCTCCGGGCATCTTGATTCCTCGCTATTTTGACTCCTTTGTTGGTAACAAATATCGCCGGCTTGGTGTTGCTTTCGGCACAGGCACCTTGACGGCTTGCGGCATTACTACCATTCGTATTCTCGTCGCACGTCGCAGTTCAGCGAGTGATGCTAGAACTTTCGAAAGAAGGCCCAGGAACATGATCTACGAGTAAGGGATCAAGGACGTCGGGGTCCAAGGAACTTATTTCCCGCCCACTGCCACGGAGATCCACATTAAGGGATCATAGTTCGCGCCGTATTTCCCCGCACTTTTCCCTATTAGGAACATGTTCCAACTTCCGAGCCCATCGAGGTGCATTCACCAACATTTCTCCAACCGTGATCCTTGGCAGACCTTAGTCGATTCTCGCATACCACGCAGCTTTCTGTCATTCCGTGGTTTCTCTCTAAGGCTAGCCAGGCAAGCTCGAGATTATGCTTTTCTCTACTCTGTAAAGAAAAGACTGGATTTCAAAGCAACAATAGGCTACTAAGCGACCAAGTCGTGAAGAGCACTATATAACTAGCAGTTCCAACTCAAGCTACTTCGTATTTCCCACTACAATCAGCTCTTTTAACAGTTGTCCGCTTCAACCCAACAATTTGATGATCTACGAATAGCATCGAATTAAAGATCACTATGGCTGTTATTGCTGTCGCAGGCGGCACGGGGGCGGTAGGCAAGACTATCGTCGAGGGCATCCTTGCTCACGGCGGCCACAGAGTTTTCGTTCTCTCAAGAACGGTGAGTGTTGACGGATCATCTAGTCCATATCATCACGGTATTTACTGACACTTGATTGTACAGAGCCGAGAACCAAAGGACGGGGTACAATTTATCGCTGTTGATTATCAGGACGTGGAAGGAATCAGCAAGATCTTGCAAGAGAACCAAATTGACACCGTCATTTCCGCTATGGGTGTTGTCACGCCGCAAACCAACCAGGCTCAAATTAACCTGGTCAAAGCATCAAACACGTCCAACTCGACGCGCCGCTTCATCGTCAGTGCCTATGACATGCTACACACCAGGGAGTATGGCTATGCTTCTCTGTCAACCTCATGATATGTAGATGCTAACAATGACTTAGCCAAATTTCGCATTATCCTCTCGCTCAATACGCTTTTGAGGCAATTGACGAGCTCGATAAGACAGATATCGAGTATACTCGAGTTGTGAACGGCTTCTTTTTGGATTATTTTGGCATGCCACACTACAAGACGCATCTCCACCCATGGGTCAACTTCGTCAACTTGGAGAAGAAGTGGGCTGTCATTCCTGGTGACGGCTCCGCCAGGGCCAATTTTATCACAACGCAGGATATGGCGAAGTACATTGCTCGCCTGGTTGGTCTTGACAAGTGGTCCAAAGTGAGCAGCATCGTGGCTCAGAACCACTCGATTTCTGAGATACTCGAATTGGCAGAGAAGACACGAGGTGAGATCAACTCTTTATGAGATCTACGTGATTCCCGAATTCGTACTGACAGAAACTTGCACGCAGGACCGGAATTCAGGGTCGCTTATGATGACTTGGAGAAGCTCAAGTCAGGAAAGATTTCCTTCATTGAGGACTTCCCTGATTTCGAGCTCAGTCGCGAAGAGTCGGAGGCCCTGTTTGCAAAGGTTCACTACTATGCTGGCATCGGGAAGTTTCTTGTTCCTACCGAAGACACTTTGAACTCTAAATTTCCGGACATCATTCCGATAACGGCTGCTCAAGTCTTTGAGGAGTCATGGAATAACAGTGGCGGGCAGTGAGTGGTGAAGCTTGGTGTCAGTAACTGGGGGAAAGGGCAAGCTGTCTAGTTTAGTGAGCAGTTCTCCCCTGAGATTCATTGATATATACGTTTTGCCCACCCTTCAGTAAGGTACTCATAACTTGATCAACTCTTCTCCACCAGTTCTGGCGTATTACCCAGGTGCTTCTCACACAACCTCCTGTATTCTCTTGCAGACCTCCATCGCATACTGATCTCATCCAAGAATGTCGTTAAACTCAGTATGTCAGATTGGCTACTAGCTCCATCGTCTGAGAGTCGGTGGAGGTTGGAGGATGCATTATACACCCCGTCAAGTATGAACGGCGATATGAGACCTAAATCTCCGATGGGATCAATCCCGTCAAATAATTGGTTGTAGAGTGCTTTGGAAATGTTTCGTATGTCCAGACTCGCCTGCCAGACAACTCTTGCTGAGCATCTCTGTATCTTCTCCATTTCATGACTCTCTGATTTGTCACCATGATGGGGCTTCAGTAGATATTTGCCGTCTGGGGCAACCTTTGCCCCCAAGGTGAGCTTTTTGACGCAAAGGAACAGAGCCGAGCGGGCGGCGAAGCGAGGTCCCATCAGTCGAAGAGTGAGGTCGGTGCCGGTCAAAGATTTTGACTCGTGGTCGACAGAATCGATCCATTCTAGAATTTTCCTTGAATGACTGACGATATCGTCAATATGAACCTGATCGAGTGTGCCCTCAATGCGAGATAGTACAAGTGCGCTGTCAATCAAGAGGGCGGCTTCGCAGAGTCGTGAGAATGCGGAGTGTTCTGCAGAGACTACCGGCTGCCAGTCGTACTCATGATCCCCAAGTACATTATAGTCGAGGGATTCCTGTTGCAAATTAGCTCATGAGCAAACGAGTTACAGCACTGTTCGTGGCCAAGTGCCCGTAAACAAGTACTAACCCAACTGTCATCATGCATCGGGAGTTTAGTGTCTTCCTGAGGTCTTGATATTGCACATGGACGCTTGCTCCCGACGGACATAAGTCTGTCGAGTATAAAGACGGCCCACCAAGATCTCCTTCTTTCTTCCTCATCCGTTTCGAACCATTGTGTCTGTCCAGTTAATGCCAGTTTCACCATGAATAAACGCTGCAAGACCGTCAAAGGATCCGAAAGACTTACAGGCTTTCTTATAGCAACCGTGTCTACTGATCCATGGAAAGCCGTTTCTCTTGTTGCCCAGGATACGCCCAAAAGCTCAATGTACCGAGTGCATAATCCAATACTCATCCATGCGGCAGGGTAGACCGCGTGGCAATATTCGTAAAGTGTTACAAGGATCATTGCTTGAAGAACCGGCAGGGACACAACCCCTCTAGCCACGAGCGTGTCCAAAAGTCCTTTGGTCTGGTTATATAAGTAGCTGCAAGTGTTGTCGTCGGGGTCGGATGTCATGAGTCTCATTGCCAGAGCAAGCGCGACTATATCCGGCTCACAATTTTCAGAGAATGGAGCTTCCAATCGCTTCTTGGCGGATATGAACCGAAACCAGATGTGAATCGTGTTAAAATACTCGTCGCAGGAGTTTTTGATCTTGTCGCTTTCATTGACGAGCGATAGGATAGCCTTTTCGTTGTCCATGAGATTAGATGTTCAACCATGTGAGAACTAAGCTGTGAGCCTTACCTCAGGTATTGAGAAACTTGGTCGGTACAGTTCTTCAAGCAACGCCTCAGCATGGAATCGATCGCCGTCGAGAAAAGCTGAAGCTGGAAAGGCACCCTTGATATGTACACGTAGGGACTGTGTCTCCCTACGCAGGGCGCTTAGCGAAGGTCGACTATCCTGATCATCAATGATATGCATTTCATCCGATGGCGTCAGCATAAGCACTTCGTCCTGTTCATTGGGAATATGGCGGCGGTGGCAGAATTGTTTCTCAATCGCATCCACTCGAGCTTGTAGAGCGGCGAAGTCCACTGCACTAGGCGGGCGATCAGACTCATGTTGTGAGCTATGGAGTCGACGAAGCTGATGGGGGCGATCATCGCTAGAAACCTCATTGTCGCGCCGCCTTTTGTCGCCCGTTCTGGCAATTGTCTTGCTCTCAAGCGGCATAGCGAAATGACTACAAGATGTAGTGCAATCGACGTCGCGCTATGGGATGGTGATGTAGTTGCTCTGGAGAAAGGTAGGAACTACAGAGGGTGAATAACCGGCACCCCTTGGCTGTGGCGTCAAAGGCAATTGCGCACCAGCCACGACCGACCTAGGGGTCTCGAACAATGTGGCTGGACAATATCGGAATACACTCAATGTGTACTCGCAGTGAGTTCTTTTCCTCTCTCCTTCCCTCCGTATTGGAAATTCCCAAAAATCCGACAAACTCTTCCGAAATTACTTGGATACGGATGAATCATAAATGTGAGGAGGCCTTCAGGTAGGGGAAATGATTGCAAATGCCTGATTGGGATAAAAGGTGAAGCACTTCATTACGGCACTCCATCATGTGGATCAAAAAAGGTGAACACGTTTTGGCAGCAAAGGTGAAGTTCATCACAAACACAAAGAAAATCACGGCACTGGCTAGGCCTTTCGCTCACCTGCATCCCCTCCTGAAAAGTCCCATGAAAGCTAACCCCCTACTTGTCTGGGTCAACTTCTTTTCTTCCTCTCGCACAAACAAAACATCAATCTTACCAAGAGTCCATCACTACACACGAGCAAGGGTTTGCGCATTATACATGCAACTTTCGCATTACAATCCACCTTGGACGGCATTGTCACAGTTACCAACCAGGCCAACGTGAAGTAGGCAAGGCGCAAAACACAAGGAGACCTTGGTTCTTGTATGCTGATTATGTCACCCAGTTACTCCTAGACTCCCTCCATAATGTGTCAAAACGTGTACTACACGTTCGATTGCGGCCATCGTATCGGACACGTTGCCGTTCTTCGCTGCGACACATGTGTCATATCTGGTTTCGACTGCTAGTATCGCGAGACCTGTGAGGATGAGAAGCTACCTGGTGGAGCGGGCTTATGTCGCGACTGTAGACTAGCTCCTCCCGTCGAGAGCGCGCGTGCGCGAAGCGAAGGCAATACGCCTGAAGGATTCTGGAAGAAAACAGGGCAGATGCTCGCTGCTGCGGTCGGAGCGATCAAGCCCTCGACGAAGTAAGAGTTGATGAGAGTTGCGACATGAAAATGGATTGCTTGGCTCTCTTGAGGAAGCTGTAAATAGTGGCCGCAAACTTCTTTGTTAGTTTCACAGCGGAATATTATCATAGCAGATCGTGGCGAGAACGAAGGGGGGGTCATTGCAGCGCTCACGACTTATCATTGTAGTACCCGTATAACAACATCAAAAGCTTTCGCGCGATGAAATGATAAATATCCAAGACTGCAAAATGCATCGTACTACAGATTGAAACGCAAGATAGATCTGCGACTTGAACAAATTCCAATGTACCATATCTCATCAAGTTTTGCGCGCAACCGACACTGAACTATCTAGTAACCCGCTCGCTGTCGCGACGGGATACAGTGACGCCATAACTCGTAGCGCCGATGCGTCACTTCTGAAATCTACAACCTCGATCTGATGGGCTGTTCATTGAGCTCAGCCTCTGCTTTCTTTCTGGAGTCTTCCCAAAAGTTGGCTTTCGCGGAACCCATGGCCGCCCAAATGTCTAACAATTTGTCGTCGAAAGGTGGCAAGACGCGACCTGTGGTTCCCGGCGCGGGGTCTCCTGCCACCGATCTGAAGTACTCGAATACCTCTTTGTAGAACGGCGCGATGGTGTAGTAGTCCTTGCCTCCACCAAACTCTGTGACACGGTCCTTTTCCCACTGCTTCTGTTCCTTCTTTGATGGTAAGGGGTTGCCCCTGCCTGCCAGAAGACGAGATACCGCGACTGCTTGCCATTCGAAAAGGCGGAAGGTGAAGCCACCTCCACACTGCACGCGCCTGTTAGCATCATCATCTCATACGAAACAGGGGCCAGTAATAACTTACCATGCCTAAGAAGGCGAGGGTCGGATCTTCGATATCCCAAGTGTGGAAGTAGACCCCGGACAACCTACGGTCAACTTGACGTATGCGTTCTTGCACCTCCGGCAAAAAGGGGAAGCTGAAAGTAAAACCAGTCCCGAAGACCACGTAATCTACGCCTTCAACTACGCTTCCATCCTCGAAGGTGATTGCGCCAGTATCTGGGTCGAATTTGATGATCTGCTTCTGGACAGAGATATGAGGATGTGTGAAAGGGGCCCAGCCAAAGTGAGGCAAAGGTTCTCCTCGAAGTGAAGCATAGACCGGGTGTTGAGCAACTGGCAGGACTTCGTGGAGGATCTCGTGCGACGATACCGAGCCTCCCACGACAATAACTTTCTATGCGTACGATGAGCGTCGAACCTCGATTGGGTGGTCGTAGCATTGACTTACCTTTCCCTTATACTTATCGGAATCTCTGAAGTGCTTGCTGTGCACAATACGGCCCGGAAACCTTTCGTCATATTCCGTGATTCCCTCGATACCCGGAAGCCAGGGTACGTTGTAGTGCCCAGTTGCTATAATGAGGGCATCGAATCTCTCCTGCCACCAGTTGTCTTTCCGAGGGTGCTCTTTCCTCAGTGTAAGAACCCATTCGTCACCCTCTTTGGCTGCGAGTTCCACGGTGGTACTCAGTTCTAGAAGTTCTTGGTGTCCATTACGGACAAAGATGTTCTCAACCCACTCCCGGATTTGTTCCCGGCCGCGAAAGGGGGCGTCATCACCATACTTCTCTCGGATCCGTTCAGTCAGAGTTTCCGGAAAGGGTTCAGTGGTAAAGCTCATAATCTCTGGGGTTATGTTGGTGTGTAGATGCTCGTGCTGAGCGGTATCCGAGAACCGGATCTGGTGACTGTTGACGGCCTCTGACTTGGGTGTCTGGGCTGGGAGTTGAGATGGGATTGGAACGGGAGCATCGGCCTTTCCATCTAAGAGTGTTTTGAGAGATGGGATATTGGCAGGCAAATGTGGGGTGTAGATCCTGTGACAAGAGTTAGAAGTCTTGCAGAGTTGAAGAGATAGGTGTTCGGCTTACCAGGTTCCTCCTGGGATGGGTCGTCGATCAAAGACTCGGACTGTGTCGAAAGCTTGTTCCTTGACCAAGGCATCTGTAGCAATTGCGCCTGAGGGCCCTGCGCCAATTACGGCTACTCTCTTAATCTTACCAACCATGTTGATTCGTTTCGCGGTATATCTCAATGCGAAGTCTCAGAAATAATGACAAAGTCGTCCTGAGTGGCTTCTTGATTGTTCAAATCACAACTTCCGGCAACTCCTGCGCTTCCGAGGCTCATATAAGGCATTGGCATCCTACAAAAGTTGACTCTTCACTTTAGTTTCGATGATTTGGCGCCAATTTATTGAGTTTCCGCGCGTTAAACAATGGCGCCACGGGATGGGTGGCATTGCGTCTTGTTGGAAGTCGAGCACGCAACCCGACTTGATGTGGGTCAAAGGATGCATCTTGACCACACCAAGAGCGAAACGATATCAGTCTTTAGCAAGCGCGTATCGGAAGGAAGCCGACTGCAGGTCCGACGCTCCATTTCGCTTGTTCATCGGTAAGCCTCCGGTTCGCGGCAGAGTTTCGCGGCTTTTAACTACACAGCATCAGTTCACACCGATATCGCCATCGTCCAATCGAATATCGGCACTCATCAGATAACTACAGGCTTCATACGACTATAGGCTCAGTTGACTTTACAATGTCTATTGAAGTACAATGCGATACCATGGTCTCACCATAATGACTCAGTGCTAAGAAACGAAGGAGGAAATTTATTTTGATTGCTTTGCTCATACTACTCGGTACCGGCTTCTGCAACCTCTGTCTTGATGAGAAGTAAGCCCTTGCTGGGCATACCGTCCTTATCAAGTAGCCTGACGAAGCGGTATCCAAGTCTCAACCTATCCAAGCGGACGCACGCCCACGCTGTCATAACATCTGGCCCGACGACATCGTTCATGACGACGAATGAGAGGAATGCCAGCTGCGGAACAACGCCCTCGACGTTCAGGAACTCGATGACCTCGCCGCCAAAATCCGGGCTGGTGCCAGTACTCTTGCTCGTTTGGCCACTGTAGCCAATCTGTGTGACTTGCTTCCCGTCCACATCTTCACGCACCATGGCGGACAGCGCATCTGGCTCGGTATGCAACCCAACCTTGACGTAAGGTATGAACTTTGTCGGATCATCATATGGGTTGAGCAAAGGAAGATTCTGAGCTGCCAATACTGTAACAGCGATTCTATCCAATTTCTTGCTCTCGATGTTGGATCCCACATCTTCTTCGTCTGACTCCCCGGTAGGGTCGCGCCGATAGCCATTAGGCTTGAGGACGTACCCATCCGAACCCGCAAACATGCCCTCATTGAGAATCATGCCCACATCCCAGGACTGCCAGTTCAGCGCAACAACCTGCACGCCCGCTCGCCAAAAGATCACAGGATCAAAGTTGGACGAGTCAACCCGCATGCCGTGTGGGTAGGTTCTCATGAGGAAGTCCCTGTTATGAGAGAACAAGGCCTTTGGCATCCTTCTCTGAATAGCAAATGCCGTTTTTTCCGAAAGGGAAAAGATGTGGTTCGGCATCGATGCTTCGGCTTGCTCAAGAGACTTGAAGGTAATACCGCGCGTGTAGATGCCCAAACGGCTGAGGCGAGAGACGACCTTGGGCGGCTTGACCTTCACGGCCTTCTTCTCGCCTCCTTCTGTCGTTGTGACATCAAGGATGCTGCTGCTGTCGTCGTCCAAGCCTACATTGATGCTTTCGGCACCGTCCCTATCCTTCGGAACGTATTTGACCTTGACAAGAATCTTTCTGCGCAGCTGTTCGGGAGACGCTAAGGAAGCCGGCTCTAGCTCGGGCTCGGGGAGGAGGAACTCTCCCCAAGTCTCCTCCATGATATCGACCATGGCGGCCTGCTGTAGTGGAGTGCAGTGCACCTCCAGGCTGACAATGAGTGGCAGATCCGACGTGACAAAGGCGTACTCCTTGACGACTTGGCAAACCTCGCGGAAAAGGATCTCCTTGGTGAGAGTGAAGCCATGGAGAACCCGTGGCTCCGCCCCAATAATGTCCGAAAGCCTGTCATCGGCGGTCCTGCCTTCTGGGTCCACAGGGTCAAACTTGTTCATGATCCAACGGCCAACCTTGATGCCTAATTTGTCCCTCCGACTAAGCTTGGTTGGTGCGTTGTTTGTGCCGTTTTCGTTTTCTCCATCGGGGTTGAACCCGGGCTTGTATCGCTCCTCGCCATCCCAGACATCAATTTCGATACAGCGACATCCACGGAGGAGGACATCCCTGTAAGCGTCGGCGCTGGAGTCGCTTGATAGCTGGTTTCCGGTGAGGTAGGTGTTGTGACTTGAGCTGATGAAGTAGCTGCTCAGCGGCCACGACAAGTCCTGAGGAGCCGCCATTTCGAGAACGTTGCCGCATGGCGAGGTGATGTATCTGATCAGTTCGAAGAGATCCAGCTCGTCTTTGTCGATGAGGTAGCTTGCTAGACCATTGGGATCCTCGGCTTGCACGTGCTGCATAAAAATGCTAATCTGATCTTGTGTCCACGTGTTTTTTGTGGTGGCATATTTGTTGAAGAGCTGAGAGAGGTGACCCAAAAGAGATTCGTCTAGCTTCTCTTGAATGCCTTTGCGTTCGCCGCTTGGATGGCCACCACCGGCGCGGTGTTGCTGGAGAGGAAATTCAGTCGACATTATGTGGTCACAACCGCAGGAAGAAGTGTACAAAGAGTATGTTGATTTCGATTCGGTAGTGATTAGAAGGTAACGACTATGAGTTTGTTTTAAAGCGTTGGACTAGCTATCACAGAGAATGTATTCCTTCATAATTCTGGCTGCCTCTTTCGTCGCGTTATGTAATTGGTCTGGAGATATTGCCCAAAATGGCATATATAGGAGGAGCTCCTTCCCGGTGGGAGGTTTCCCAGGCGGGGCGGAGGTGGAAATAAGGTCTCTACGGTTAAAGTATTAGTGAACTTACGCACCGTCGGCCTGGCCGAAGGCTGTTCTTAGCTTTGTGGAACCTCTGTGTTTGGGTATGGAAGAGGCCAAGGCTTGCGAAGTGGACACGGCTATCACGGCAACGCACCGACTAGGCTCAGCCTCAAGTAGGTAGGAGAGAGAATATGAGCGAAAGGCTGGAGTGATGACTTCTTTGAGGAACCGGCGACCGTTACGGGTTCCGGGTATCACGGACCCCGAGTACGGCATCGAGCCCCACTTTGTCGATAGAAGATATCTGTAAAGACTGTGGTCTCAAAACGTAGAGATAATTTATTGCGGGGAGTAAGGTATGATGAACTTTTCCAGATTTGGGAGGAACTGGTGCAATGCCCGTTCATACTCATTGCTATTGTAAACCCTGCCCATAGCAGGCAGAACAATGACCTCGGCACTTGTGTGTATCAATTTGTCAATCCTTTAGGACCACCGCAACCTTCTCCCCATCATCCACCTCGACAGTCTCAATCTCAAAATGATAATTTTTGAACTCTCGAGTTGGCAGTCGCTTCTGGAACATGTTCTCCAGCTCCAAGTAACTGCGACCCTTCATCTCTGGGAAGCAGAAGTAGAGATAGATAGAACATAGCAGCGACGGTCCGAAGAAGACGAATGCAACCTTGCCCCCGAGGTTGGCGTTGCTGGGGTTGATTAAAAATGGCATGAGTTGCGTGACAAGACACGCAGCCGCTGTGTTGCTCATCACGTTGATAGAGTAGGTCTTTTGACGAAGACGGGGAGATGCAGTTTCGCCACCGACGGCATACCCAACAGCACCGATTGAAAGTTGGAACTAAACACCAACCATCAGCATCAAAAGAAAAAGAATGGCGGTTGACTCTCGTTTCGACTTGACTTACTATGAATCCCCAAAGAGCCATGAGTGCAACCATGGCAGTGAGAGCGCTCTGGTTACTCTTGGGAACACCTAAGCCACCGATCACTAGCAGCAGAGCCGTCATAGCAATAGTTCCCCAGACTATCAGTGGTCTGCGACCAACTCGTTCAACTAAGAACCACGAGCAGATATTGCCAAGCAGCTGAATACTGTAACAAACCTGAGCAATACCGATAGGATTTCCCACCCCAGCAATAGTAAAGAAGCTATGAGATCATGCTGTTAGTAAATAAATAACTCCCGGATGGTCTTGACTTACTATGATAGGTATCCCACAACCAGCTGAGCACCAGCAAATTGCTGTGTCAAATACACCATGCAAACGATTGTAGTTCTGCGCAAATTGGTACCTCGAAAACAATCCAAGTATGAGGCGCCACCTTGGCTCAACGCCCTCTCCTTTTCGAGCGTCGCTTCCATCATTGCCAAACTCTCTTCCACGTTGTGTCTTGGGCCGTTGAATTTGCGTAGCGATTTTCCAGCTTCCTCGCGTCTGCCCTTCATTAGAAGCCAAGACGGCGACTCTGGCAGTAAGAGTCCTCCAAGAACCAGCATTAAGAACGGAGGCACCAGCTGGGCGAGCACAGGCAACCTCCAGCCCCAGTCGCTCTTGATGAAAGACCCGCCGTAGCCGACCAGAGCGCAAGACCATTGTCCAATGACGATCATGGTGTTGATGAGAATAAGGCACACTCCCCGCAGAGAGTCTGGCGCAATCTCAGCGACATAGACGGGTCCCAGAGCGTGGCCCAGTCCGTAGCCGACGGTGCTGATGAGTTTGCCGCCAAAGAGCATCAAGATCGAGTTCGAGAAGCCTTGTACGATGATCCCAGCAATGCAAAGAACACAGCCACATATGACTACCATGCGGCGCCCGATAATGTCCGAGATAAACCCGGTGCAATATGCGGCTAGCACAATACCGACAGTAGTTGAGGCATTGAGGATTTGCTGATCTTTGGTCGGAACCTCCTTGATGCCGGAGGTCGTAGTCGTCCCGAAGCGGTCGAGGAAGGCAGGGATTGCGAGTATATTGCCAACAAGTGCGAGCTCGTACCCGAAGTTGATGGGTAGAATGAAAATGAGGAGGCCTACCAACGGGACGCGGTCAGACTCGGTTTCCGCTGACCAAGTTGGTCAGTCGTAGGCAATACTTACACCAGGCCAAGACCCTCTTGTTCTTGGACAGCTCAGCAAAGCCTGCGGTATTCTCTGGAACTCCTGCCATTGTGCTCATGTTCAATTCGTCTCCGAGTCGCAGAAGGCGGTAACAGGTTCCTCGAGAAAAAGTCTGAGATATAAGAAGAGTCTTGAGACCTGCGCGAATAAGCAATGTCTTCCTTGAGTTGCCCTGGGGTTAACGAGAAAGACACTGAAGCCATCAGGAAAAGCCTCGATTACTTATAGCTCCAGTATTTAGTCAAAACCACCCTTCGATCCGGGTTTACTCCCGTGTCCAGATGACAGACATCAAAACCACATGTTTCACCGTGGGCTACGCCCACCTAAGAGTCTCTTACCCCACAATACAATGCTACCCCCGCAGACCCATCGCGTAGAATGGCTGTGAATGGTCAAGCTAATTCGCCGCGGCGGATTATTTAGTGTTGGTCTCTGCCCACATCTTGGCCACGGAACGCATTGGTCTAGCAACTCTTCCCTTTCCCACACTTTACTCGGCACATCGGAGAATTGCCAAAGACGACTCTGCGAAGCGCTTGAATTTCTGTACCCGACAGCTTACCTAGTTCAATGACGAAACGATCTTGCGATGGATGTAGGCGGCGGAAGGTCAAGGTATGGCAAACCAGACTCAAGTGCAACTTGCTGACAACCGCAGGCTAAATGCGACACCTTACAGTGCGATGCGCAGAGCCCGCAATGCTCAAACTGTCTAATGTCATCCATGACTTGCGAATACACCGTCCCAGCGAAGAAACGGGGGCCACCATTTCGAGCTCAAAGATCAGATCAGATCACAGCTCAGACGAAATACAACCGGCCGAGTGGCAAAGAGTCTATTCCAGGAAATCCTCAAGTTACAGACTCCTTTGTTGCCGGTCTGCCAAACGACAATCAACCTCTCAGTTGCCCTACCCGACAGAGGAATTCCGTCCATGCTCCATTCGACGCAGCCATTGGCGATCTTTTCTCAACTCTGGGGAAAGCCCTGCCATATGTCCCACTAGAAGATGTCCTATCTTCCTGCATTGATCTTTACATGCAATGGGAGTTCCCGACCAGCCCCATCATCTGCGAACCAATGGTTCGGCAAATGATGCATGCTGTGGTTCCAATTCTCCGGAGGGAAGTTTCGCTACCCAGCGACCCGGTAACAAACCACTCCAACTCAGACATTCCAACCATCCGGGCCTTTGCGCTCCTCACGGCCCTCTGCGCAGTGGTCTCCTCTACTTTGCCAGCCGAGATATTTCCTGGTGGCACGGCACTCGCGATGCCGTTCCTCAAAACGTCGCGAGAGGCTCTTCGACTTTATCAAGACTACGATATTGAGCACCCGGAGTCGAGCTCAATCGTCATCCGTTACTTCCACTCCAACGCCTTACATGCCCTCGGAAAGACCAGTGTGTCGTGGCATGCGATGGGAGAGGCACTACGACTCGTGCAGGAGATGCGATTGTATGACGAGAAATCTTTTCGCAACCTCGAGTGGCCCGAGGCTCAGTTGAGAAGAAACACCTTTTGGCATCTCTACATTGGGGACAAGTCCGCCTCAATTCTGAATAAAGTCCCCATCTCGCTTCATCAGATCTGTTTGGACACTCCCATCACTACTATATTCGAGGAAACTGAGGATTACAGACTCATCCAGACTGGCCCGGAACCCGACATTGCAGATTTTGAGCGCTGTTTGCGTCTGGGTTTCAACTTGTGCTTCCAACTTTGGTATACGGCTTCTGAAATGCTTGTCGACTTGAACTTCCTATCACGACTACATGGTAAAACTGGATCGCTGCGCTCGGTCACCTCAAACGATGCATCAGACTTGAAGAAATCTACCATGCAATTATACTTCGACTTCACCAGTATCCTCCGCAACTGTCCGCCCTGGGTTTGTGATCCCAAAATTGCAGTCTCGGGAACACCCAGCGAGGCCACGGCCCAGTTTCGAACCAGGGCAATATCGATTCAGAAAGCCAACCTATTTGTCACCTTTCACACGCTGCGACTAGTTCTTATCAATCGCTTTTTCGAACGCGGCTTCATCGAGATTCTAGGGCTGACAGACGATCCAGTGATGCTTGCTATGCGCAAAGTCGAGATAGCGAGCGATCTCTTGGAGGCAGTGTCAGACATTCCCTTTGAGGCCTTACAAGCTAACGGAGAACCTTGTGTAAATACAGCTCTCCTAAGACTCAAGTTAGGGAGGACTAAATGGCTGACTCTTGAACAGGTTGAAAAGCTCCGACAAGTCGGCGTGGCTCTGCTCGAAATCATGCACAATATCAACAACGAGGCCATATCCACTCGTGCTAGATCCCTCTTTGGCACGCTGTTGGACATTCTAGCCCGGCTAAATTCAAGGATATCAGACGAGTTGAGCAATGATCGCGAGTCATGATTTGGGAAGGGCGTTCGTCGGCACTTCGCATCGGGGTAATGGTGTGGTTTGCAATTCTCCGCGGCGAATTGGCCCACTTCTCCATCTCGGGCCCAGATGCCCCAGACGCCTGGCTGATCAGATGTTTCCACATCGAAAAGGCATTTGGCTATAAACTCGAAGTTTCTGGGACCATTAACATGTGCTTGCTTCATTTCCGTCCAGACTTCAGCTGTCAGTAATCCGCTTCGTTCTGTGCTCAATTGCAAAGATGGCGACGAAGCGCACTTACTGCAACCCAATCGTGCCTGGATTCGCACCAGATCCCTCGGTCGTCTTCGTTGATGGTGTCTTCTTTCTGGTAACTTCATCTTTCCACGTCTTTCCTGGTCTGCCCATCTACGCCTCAACAGACCTTCAAGACTGGAGGCATATTGGTAGGCGAACCAGCCAGAGTTCAGCTTAGCGAGCACACTTACTGACACACGGCAAGGCAATGCCATCAATCGCAAGGAACAAATCTCACTCAATCGTGCGAGCACAGCAGTGATGCCTCTCGATACGGGGAATATCATGGTCGCCAGCGCCGGTCTCTTTGCACCAACCATACGCTACCACGAAGGCACTTTCTATATCGTTTGCACAAACGCAACGCACGATGAAGATACCTTCGCCCTGGATAACTTCTACATCACCACTACCGATATCTGGTCAGACAATTGGACCGATCCAATTCACTTCTCTTTCAATGGTATCGACCCGAGTCTGTATTTTGACGACGACGGCCGTGTCTATGTACAGGGATGCTGGATGATAGACCGACTCAAACAGCCCAGCTGCACGATCAAGCAGTTCGAGATAAATATTGCAACAGGCAAGGCTCTGACTGAAGCCCGAGAGATCTGGGGCGGCTTCGCGCGCTATGACACCGAGGGCCCTCATATCTACAAGCGAGGAGGCTATTATTATCTCCTTGTCGCTGAGGGTGGCACCTTTGAGCATCACCTGTTGAGTATCGGGCGCTCAAAGGATATTTGGGGCCCCTACGAATCCTGTGATGCAAACCCTATCATGACCGCCGATGGGAAACCAGACGAGTGCATCCAGAACATCGGCCATGGTGAGCTCTTCCAGGATCAGAGTGGCGCTTGGTGGGCAGCGGTTCTTGGTGTACGAAATGAAAACAATCGTCCACCGCTTGGCCGGGAGACTTTTCTGACCGCAGTCGATTGGCCGGAAGACGGATGGCCAACAATTCAGCAACCGACGATGGAGTTTGAGCGTGTCCTTTCTGGCCCTGTTGGTGGTCACGCATCATTGATTAACAAGGCTCCGGCAAACGTTGATCTTGTTTACATCCGTGACCCCGAATGCGAGATGTATCACATTAGCGGCGAGAACGATTTGGTACTCGGGTGCAGTGCTAGCAACCTGTCGACTCCTACCGGTACTAGCACCTTTGTTGGCAAGCGACAGAGATCCATTGATGCATCTGCATCAGTAAATCTGAATATCTCCAATGCGTTCAAAGGGAAGCCCGTGGAGGCCGGGCTAGCCATCTACAAGGATGCACCGCGCCACGTTTCTCTTTCGTTTGACTTTCAGTCTTCGGAAGTGGTGTTCAACGTGACGACAACATCCAAAAATAAAACTCAATCAACTTCTATCCCAGTCAACACATCCACAACAGTCCTAGGAATGCGTCTGGAAGCAACTGCGCAGGAGTACACATTTTTGTATCGCGAGAACGACTCGGAAGACTGGAATGCAGTGGGAAGGGTGCAAATTGCCGACCTGGTTGAGAGAGAGATGACAGGGCCGGTCTTTGGTGTCTTTGCGCACGCTATGGAAGATGGAACTGTCGGTGCCGAGGTTCATTTCAGCAGATTCACGATAGAATAGCAGGGCAAGTCCGATTCTTGAACCTCAGAACTCGAATGGCAGTAAGCCTAAGTTTGTCAGAGCTGAGTAATTCAAATAGAAAGTCGCCGTTGATGCGCCGCCTGAGGAGTAATCGGTCCCTTGATTCCTCCGCATAAGCTGTGGCTGATCTCCCGTGACGTAGTTCTCCAACACCCATCAATAGCCGAGGCATGCGAACGACTGCTTTGATGATCAAGGAACGTTGAAAAAGCCTCCTTAGTCCCTCGACCTTTGCAATGCTGTTTGTACAACAGAGCCTTTTGAACTCTTAACTAGTAGCTGCTCCTTTCCATAGAAACTGACTCACGCCGGTCGACGAATTGCTTGGACGTAATGGACCCAGCACAATTGCCTCCGTGGGATCTCCCCTCCGGCGTCACCTCTCGCTATGTCGACACTTCGCCCATAGGGCTGAAGTTCCATATTCTCGAGTCTTTCCCAAAAGACAATCCCTCTAAAGGCCCACCGCCTCTGATCCTACTTCTCCACGGCTTTCCAAACCTGTCGTTCGACTGGTCTGCGGTAATGCCGAAACTCGCTGCGGCGGGGTACTACGCAGTCGCTCCCGATATGAGAGGCTTCGGCCGAACGCACAACGCCAATCTGAGTCCGATCAGCGAAGATACAATCCGTCCGCTGACCGCCCTGCGGGATGTGGTAACTCTAGTCCACGCACTCGGTTACGAGAGCATTCACACTCTCGTCGGGCACGATCTAGGGGCATTCGTTGCTTCGATGTGCGCCATCACGCGGCCAGATATGATCAAGTCCTTGGTATTGATGGCGCATCCGTTCAAGGGATCTCCTCAGCTGCCCTTGGGAACTGGAGCTGCACCGCAACTAGCTTCTTTGTTTGAATCCAAGCGGGAGGATGGCGGGAAGACGATCAAGGATGACAATGACATTCAATCCTCTCTCTTGAAGCTTGACCCGCCAAGAAAGCACTACAAGTACTACAACGCCTCATCAGAAGCAGTCGACGAATGGACTCATCCCACAGGCCAGTCGATGCACAAGTTCCTCCGGGGATACTTCCATCTGAAGTCTGCAGATTACAGTTTGAATAATCCTCAGCCCCTCGAATCATGGACAGCACAAGGGATCTCAGTCATGCCGCATTACTACGTAATGAGAGCGGACCTATCGATGCGCGGAAACATTGAGCTGGACATGGCGCAAGAGCCGGCCGAAGTGCGAGCCAAACTCAGTGAAACACCATGGCTTACCGACGCAGAACTTCAGGTCTATGTTGATGAATATTCCCGAAACACGTTCCGACTTTCTTTGTTGTGGTACAAAGTCCTCATCGACCCGGCCTTGTCTGCAGACCTCCTCTGTTTTGCGGGAACAAAGTTGGCGATCCCGACAAAGTACGTCTCTGGGACACATGATTGGGGAACGTACCAGGTTCCTGGCGCTCTTGAAGCCATGGAGAACGGCGAGAGCGTTCGGTCTGACTGCTGGATGGGGTCGGTCATAATTCCCGGGGCGGGTCACTGGGTCAACATCGAAAAGTCCGAGGAGACGGCACAAGAAATCATCACACTGGCCCAGTCCCTTTAGGAGAAGGGCGTGAACCCTGTTGGTGGATCTGTTTCCCAGTTTCTAAGTTGAGATTGTCATGGGTTTGTTTGCAACGAAACAATTGCTTTGTATGATTTGGGTGAGGTTTGGACGAGCTTAATTGTCTCCTATATATGGACCCTGTGAGATCGAGGCAAGGTCTGATTTACAAAGTAGTGCCGGACTTACTAGCAGTCTTCCAATTATTGATGATTTGTTGCTACAATGTTATATCTATAACAGCGTTCTTGCTCTCAACTTGCTCTCTTCGCCCTGAACGTCGTTTCGAAGCATCTCTGATTTTACAGCTTTCATGGCGAAGCGGAATATGCTCAGTGTGCCTTTCTCAAATAGCTTCTAATTATACGGTTATATGCCTTACTACTCGGATAGTGTCTATTACACACTAGACTGTACCGCAGTCAACCCCCTTCCTTTATCGTCGAAGTATGGACTCAACTTCTCGATGTAAGTCCCAAACCAGACTTCCCTCAAAACGAGGACACCCACATTTCCATTTCCAAGAAGTCCAGTTCCCAAGATCCAGAGACGATGTTCTCATTGATACATTCCCATTCGTTAGTGAAAGAAGCTTACGGTCGACGTGAACACGGGGGAAAGGTCGAAGAGGTAGGCATCTGGCTGGCTCATCCTCTTTGAACATTCAATATGAGCATCGGAGAAACATCATAGAGGTATCTTGGGTCAAATTGCTCAAGCAAGTCGAACTCATCTGAACTTACTCCAGGCACCTTGAGGGTGAAGCTTCATGTTCAATTCACCACCGGGACCTATCTCCGGCACTCACTCATTCACTCATTTGTACAGTCACTCATAAGGCAACACATTCACCGTAGCCATCGGAGATGGGTGCCCCACTCGAAGTGGCCGCCCTTTTTTCTTCCGAGGCCGCAAGATCAACTCCATGGCTTCCCATCTCAGCCTGTCTATCTCCGTTACTATCAGATTCACCTTCTTCTTCCCAGCTTTTCCCTTCTCTTCTGTCCCAGATCTCTCCTTCCCTTCCTTCTTACAACCCACTTATTCTCTTCTTCTAATCACAATCCCCCATTCTCATACCACAGGACCTGTTCTTGTGAAATACTTCTACTCAAACTTCACCCATAATCATTCTCTACGGCAGGCCCGATTCAATTCTGTCTATACTCAGCCTCAAGGCAATCAATACCACAAGCCAACTGATCGATTCTTGAGCAATTGACCATAAGGTAGTTGAGTCACCACACCCACCACACACCAATAATCATCACAACCGCCAAAATGTGCGTTTCCGGTCAAGTTATTTGCGAATGCGACTGGCCCAGAGACACGGTCCGTCACTGCACCAAGTACGTCCAGACTGGCGAACTGTGCCCTGGTACCTCAAAGTGTCTTCTCCCCAACACAGAGCGTCGCAAAACGGAAGGCGGCGTCTACAAATGCTCCAATCCCGCGTGCGAGATTTGGGATCTCGAAATGTGTCGTGGCATCCGCGAAAGAGGAAAGTACATGGACCGACAGATGTCTTTGACGCTTGGCCAATGGATGAAGAAGGAGGAGGAGGCTGAGAAGGCGAGTATGGCCTTGATGAATGAGGCCAATCCAGTCGAGTCTGGAGGTGAAGGCCACGCTAGTATCGTGGTCATCCCAGACGACTCCGATTCCGACGACGATGACAACGATGAAGGCCTTGAAGCGCTACTGCAGTTGGCACTGGCTGAGGCCCAGGATATCGTCGAGAGCATACCCGACAGCATCCTCAAGAAGCCCGAGGTCTTCCTCAAGCCCGAGGTCGACGTCCCCGAGCTGGAGGTAGAGGAATCAACAACCGATGACCTGGAGAGCTTGTTTGGCGGTTCTTCGAGTCCCCCGACTCCCGACATGAGGCTCGTTAAGAATCATCATACCATCTGTCTCCCAACAGAAAGTCACCTCCCAAGCCCCGTACTCTCTCAACCGACCCCCGCGGATCCCGTCAAAGAAGGCGATTCTCAAACACCCCCCGCCGATACAAAGAGCGAACAATCAACTCCCGTCATCCTGCCAGCACAAGCGCCAGTTCAACATCAACCCGCCCCCCAAGTCCCTCAGAAGCCTGCTTCAACGTATCCCGCCCAGAATACCATGGCAATGGGCAACAAGATGCCCATCAGCTACCCAGCGGTCCCGCAGCACATGAGGCCGACTCTGAGCGGACCAAACCAAGCGACCCTACGAGCGCTTCGAGCCCAGACTCCCCGCCGCGGGAGCGGGCGTCCAATGATACCAGCTAGAGGCATGCCGATTCAAAACGGGTACACGGCCTCTCCTCAAGTCTCTCAGGGACCTGTCCCTACTTATCCCGGCCAGAATACTATGGCGATGGGCAATGACATGGCCGTCAGCCATCAACAGCCGACGGTACCGCAGGCCCATGCCCGTGCCGCGCCCGCTCAAGGTGCTCTCATGGCAGCCCGGTTCGGTTGTCGGATGCCAGGCTCTGGCATCCAGAACACGGCTGCTATGGGTGCGGGCGTGGGCATGGGCATGGGCAACACTATGCCCAACTGCGGGGGCCAGGGGATGTCTCTTGCGATGTCGGCCCAGCCTACAGGGCCGCAGGGTATGCCATCTCAGTACGTGGCATATCAGAATATGCCACCCCAGAGAGTGCCCCCCGGCTTCCCCAACTTCATTCAGAGCCCGCAGATGCCATACCAGGGCATGCCGGCCCAGGGTATGTTGCCTCAGGGTATGCCACCCAACGGTATGCCAACCCAGGGCTTCCCACCCCAGAACGGCTACATGCCCAGCCCGGCGATCCCCCAGATGCGGACACGACCCATGCGGGGGCTCGCATCCAACGGCATGCCAGCCCAGCAGGGATACATGAATCCGGCCTACATGGCGAACGGGGCGGCGCCGTTACAGTATGCGGGACCAAGGTCGCCCATGGTCGGTACTGCCTCCGCCCAGGCTCCGGCCGGTGTTGCTCCCTTCCCCCGGGCCTCAACTGGAAGCATGTTCCTCCAGTCCCAGCCGCAGCCCCAGTTCCCGAACCAGCCCCAGCCCCTGATCCCGCCCTTCTTCAACAGCAGGATCTGGGACCAGAGCCAGGCACAGAATGCCTCAAGACCGCAGATGGCTTCGGGTATGCCTGGCATGCCCCCCGCACAAGGCACGATCGCCGGGTCCGGTCCAGCCACAGGTCAAAAGAGATCTCACAACGCGATCTCCACCGGCTACACCGATCCTCGCCTGAGCCAGCCTCCCCTGACACCCGGCGGCATGCCAATTACATCACCAGCGAATACGCCGCCGTCGGTGGACGGAGAGCGCCAGACGAAGCGCCGGGCGATGTAAATCAACGCCAAGGTATGGGCGGTTGATTAGGGAACAGCCATGCCTCCAGCCTCCAGCCCACGGGGCCGCAGGCGACGAATGATAATACTCTCGCTTGCGGCTGGGGAAATCCAAGAGGGTCTGGAGGCATGGCTGGGTTGTGGTGCAGGAGAAGACTGGGTTCTGGGTGCGCTTACATACCTGGGACATACCTAGGGGTCCAGATACCAGGGCAAGGAGAGAGCGTCGAGCGCGGACCTGGGTGTAGATGAGGAGGGTATGGGGAGCGTTCGAGGGGATCAAGGTCGGGGTGTGTCAAACGGTTTTGTGTTTCCCGGGCGTTAGGAGTTTCGTTATGGTCTGTACGTTAAGGGTGTGTTAATTCGTTAATGAGAAAGAGGTGCTACATCATCCTGATGTGGCTACAGATGCCAAGTCGGGTTTCAGCACGCTGTTGTACAAAAGCATCAAATTACATCTCCCTCTGCAAATGATGTATAGGAAAACAACTCAACAGAAATTACTCAGCGATGCTGTAGCCGATAGTAAGGTAGTCCCCGGATCACTCATGCCATTCATGATCCATCTCAATGTACTCAACTCGGCTTCACAATCACATGCATGGTGGACGGGGGTTCATTAAAGGGGGTAGTTTCCCAACATTGAAATCTATCTTAACACAAATGCGGAATAATGCTCGTACATAGTCATAATCATCCCAGAAAAACATGTCTAAACCCCAATTATTCCCTTACACCACCCATAAACGTTACGCCGACCACTCTCCATATATGTTGGTTTAATCGCGCAGGTACTTGAGGAGTTGGTCACGCTCCTCAGGCGGCATCGTGCGAATGACATCGCGAACACCACGCATGGCGGCGCTCTTGTTGGCTCTCAGAACAGAGCTGAGGTCAGCAGCCAGGTTATCGGCCTTGACGGTCTCGATTCTGTCAGTGACGGACTTGCGGTTGGCCTCGTACCACTCAGCCACCTCACGATCGGCAGTGGAGAAGTTGACGACACCAGACCAGCTCTCGAGGAGCTGAAGGTTGCGGCTACGGGTCTCGGGAGCCTTGGACTTGTCGTTGCCGGGGGTGGAAGTGAGGACGGTCGACGACATGCGCTTGAGGAGGTACTCCTCGTTGAGACGACGGCGCAGACGCCAGTAGAAGTAGCGGCGGGAGTTGACCCACTCCAGTTGGTCACGAATGACACCCTTGGCCTTCATGCGACCAGCACGGTCGTGCAGGTCGGCAAATTGGATGGCAACCTGGGAGTAGACAGGCAGGAGCTGCTTCTCGCGGATGGTCATCTTCTTCTTGATCTCGTCGGCCTGCTCCTTGGGCAGATCGGCAGTCATCTGCTTCTTAAGAGAGGCGTAGACGGGGTCCAGGCGAGCCATGGTCTCGAGCTGCTTGTCCTTGCGGTACTTGATACCAATGATACCCTCAGGCTCGAGGACACCACCGCGGGCATCGACATCAGCGTACATCTCCATGGCCTCAGGGTTGATGGTAGGGTCGACGACGACCCAAGAACCACCACGAAGCTCTCCGAAGGGAGGAATGTAGACGAAGATGGGCTGCTCGTACTTGACGAGGGCATCGACGATGTAGGAACCGTACTTCAAGACCTCGTTGTACATATCGCGCTGACCACCAGAGAAACCTCTCCAGTTGGCGAGGATCATCAAAGGCAGCTGCTCACCATTGTTGAAGTCGTTGATGGCCTGAGCGGTCTTGAAGGCGGAGTTGGGGTACCACACACCACCGGCCTCGTTGGTGATCTGCTCGATAGAGTCGGGGTTGGCGGGATCGGCAGGGGTAATGTTCTCAACGGAGCGGGCCTCAACGGCGATGACACCCATGGGGATACCGCCAAGGCGAGCACGACCGACGACGACGGTACGGGCCCAGCCACCGAGGGTCTCGACGAAAGAGTCCTTGTCGAAGAGACCAGCCTCGAAGCCACCATTGTCAGTGGGGTGACCGCCGATCATCCAGCGCACATCGTAAGCCTGCTTCTGGGGAGGCGTGTAGACGACATCGCGGTCCCAGCCGTCGGTGCTGGGGCTGACAGGGATGGGGCTGCCACGCTTCTCGGGGATGAAAGACATCCACTCGACAATCTTGGAAACACCATCAAAGTCGTCAGTACCGGTCATATGGGAGACACCGTTGCGGTACATGATCTGAGTGCCACCAAGCTGCAAGTTGGAGGTGTAGATCTCGCGACCAAGAACGTTGTTCAAGGCAGGGGCACCAGTGAGAATGATGGGCTGGCCCTCGATCTGGACAGCACGCTGACCAAGGCGGACGAGGTAGGCACCAATACCGACGGAACGGCAAGTGACCAAGGTGATGGTGAAGATGTCGTTGTAGGCCTTGCTCGTCGCACCAGCAATGAGACCAGATCCTCTCAGACACTCAACACCAAGACCGTCCTCCTGACCGACGATGGTGACAATTTTGTGGCGCTTCTCACCATCCTCGGAGATCTCCTCGGTGATGACGTCCTTGGCGAAGCGCTTCTGGGCCTCGTCGTCGAGGTAGAGGTACTTGAAGCCGTTGTCCTGCTTGTTGGCGTCGTTCCACGCAACCTTGAAGTAGGGCATGAGCTCGTTGGCGACACCGAGACGGGCACCAGAGTTAGCAGACAGGTAGATGCGGGGAATACCAAGCTTGCGAGCGAGCTCAGTGCACTTGTAGAAGAAGTTATCTTCCTTGGGGCCGAAAGAACCGATCATGTAGGTGATATCGTTGGCAACAACAATGAACTTGCGACCCTTGGGGTACTCGGGGGTCTTGGCGTTGAAGATCCAACCAACCATACCGCAGGTGTTGGTACCAGGCTCGCGGTTGACCTCCTGAAGAGTGTCCTTGTCGTCCAGGACGAGCTCAGTGTACGAGACACACTCGCCAGACTTGGGCTGCTGAGCACCCAGTGCGCCGTGCTTCTTGACCGACTGGGTCCAGCTGTTCTGGATGGCCTGGCGGAAGAGCTCGGGGAAATCGTAGACGTACTGAGTACCCATCAAGTGAGCCTTGTAACGCTTGGGCTGCAGAGGGTTCTTGGTGGCATAGGGAGTCGAGACAGGCAACAGGTGCATGGGACCCTTCTCCTTGGTACCGCCAATGCTGTTGAAGACCCACTCGCCCTTCTCAGACTTGCGCTCAGCGTAGATGTCGACATCAACAACGTATCCAGAGGTGTTGGTGATGATGACACGCAGAGGGTAGGGGACGCCAGTGTCGGGATCAGTGCAGATAATACGGATCTCAACCTGGGCGACACGAAGACGCCAAGCGCGGGCTCCGAAGCGGTCCAGGAAGCCTTGGAGACTGCTCTCAACCTCCTGGGGGTGAAGCTGGAACACCGGTGTGAAGTTGATAAAGACCTGGTTCAAATCGGAGTTGTTGTTGCCAATGATCTCAAGAGCGTCAAAGATGTCGTTGATAACGCGGTCGGCCTCAGAGATCAAGTACTCAGCAGTAGGGATCTCGTCACGGAGACGGCCGGGACGAATGACAGCGCGAGTGAAGTAACGCTTGTCACCGTCGACGGCCTTACCAACACCCTCGTAGACGTGGATGTTCTTGTTCTCAGTGAAGACGGGCTTAATGTGGAACTTGGCAAGTCTTCCGAGCTCAAGCTGGAAAGCGAGAGCGGGCTCACTGTGACGAATGCTGTCATCCTCAACGTACTCGGGGCCACGGAAGGTGTAGTAGCCGGGGTAGGCACCGTCGTTGCGACCGCAGATGAAGGTAATGCGGCGGACGTTGCGGTTGAGAAGCTCCTCCTTGAACTGCTCGACGATGGGAACAATGCGAGACAGAATCTCCTGATCGCTCTTGCTCTCGGCGTCGCGGACAGCAACGTTGATGACAGCGGAAAGCTCGTCAGAGTCGACCTTGGGGGCAGCGGGCTTGCGCTTGCCGCTCAAGTCAGGAATAAGACCGGGGGTGCTGCGCTTTCTGGCCTTCTCAGAGACGGTCAAGGTCTCAAGAGCCTTTCCGAGCAAGTCCTCGGCATCGTCGAGGTACTTGACGGGCACGATGACACCCTTGCGGTTGGGCTCAGAGTCCCACTTGTGGTTGAGGTAGGACATGTCGCTGATGGAGTGAATGCGCTTGAAGTCGAACGAGCCACCGCTGCCGCTGGGAGTGGCGGGAGAGGAGGGTGCGGCGGACTGAAGAGGCAGTCCGTACTCGCTCTGGCCGATCTTGCGGAGAGCAAAGTCCCAGGTGCAGAAGAGAGGGGTATCGGTCTCATCAGAGTGGTACTCAATCTGCTTGAGGATGTACGCACGGTAGGCACGACGAACGTAAACCTCGAGGGCAGCGAGAGAGACCCAGGGGTCCTCGTGAGCGAAGAAGAGGGTCAAGACGTCGAAGACGGTGTACTTGGAGTCGACAACCTCCTTGATAACCTCCAAGCTGGGCTCACGGTGGTCCCAGGCGGCCTCACCGTAGCGAGACTCGACGACGGAAGAGCGGAGAATGTGCTCCATCTGAGCGGTACGCTCCTCGAGGGAAGGCAGAGAGCACTGGATCATGATCTCACGGGCCTTGAGAGAAACCTTTGAGGTAGTGCGGGAGGACTGGAGCTCGGTCAACTGCTGCAAGGCAGTGCGGAGGTACTTGGCCACATTTCCGACGTTGGGCTTGTTGGGGCGGTACTCCTCGAGGATGGCGAGGATCAGCGAGCTCTTGGCACCAACGCGGCTGTGAGAAAGAACAGTCTGGACAACCTTGCGGATATCATCCTTGTTCTGGTCACGCAGCTTGAGGATGACGCTGTCCTCCTGGGTTCCGTAACCAGTGAACAGGCGCTCGATCTCAATGTACGAAGCCAAGAGGTCCTTGATGACGGTCAACTCGTGGGCCTTGGTTCCCTCGGAGTATGCGTTCAAGACGTCAGTCAAGGGGGCCAGGGTGGTCTTGAGCATGTCAGCATCGCCAGCAGCAACGTTGTCCTCGAGGAACTTCTGGAACGCCTTGGCCAATGCCTTGGCGGGG